CACATCTGAGTCATGTTAACAAACACATTCCAGGCCCCACCTGAGCGCACTGAATCACAATCCCTGCAAGGAGGACACTGGACTTGTATTTGCACCGACCTTCCCAAGTGTTTCTTACTCTGACTAACTTGGGGGTGGAAAACACTGGGATGCATTACATCATTCCAAAGCCCAAACACAAAAGTAGAACAAGAATATATTCAATGCAGTCTCTTAAAGTGGAGAAAATTCTTGGGGGAACCTAGAATTGGAGGAAACCTGCCTTGCTGCTCTCCATCTTAACTTTACCCTGAGTACGGCAGAGACACGAGCCGTTCAGGACACATGCCTGAGGCAGTGACAGTCCAACTTTGGAACAGTGGAAGCCCTAGTTTTGAATTCCAGTTTGCATTGGGTAGAAATTAAGTTTACGTCTTTTTGTACAGCAACAAGGCCAGTCTTCTGCAAGCCGCTCACCTTACAAGGAAAAAAAACAAAATCATACTACCAAGAATTCAAACTTCAGCAGACATGGGTAAGTAAGGAAGTCTTATAAACCTGTTCTAGCCACCGAAAAAGAAACCAGAAATTTAGCAATTCTTTCACATTCAGGACAATTGTGTTCACTAGATTAGAGGCACTGAGACATGAAGAAAAGACCCCCTAAAAAGGGAAAGCATTCCTTCCTGCCCTAGGACATCCCTGCCAACTTCAGGGAGGTGGGAACCCTGCTGCACTCTCTACAGTATGTGTTGCTTTTGTGTCTGGAAGGTGTCTGACATCCTGGGATCTGAACCCATTTCAGGGAGCTCTGGGAAGAGCCCGAAACACTGATGGAATTGTACAGTGCATGGAAATGGTTCAGTAGGACGAGGGTAAGTGCAGAAGCATGGCCAGGTCATACCGAGAGACAATGAGTGGCACTGATGGGGACAAAGATTAAGAACAAAAGTTTGTGCTTCAACTTCAGAAACTCAAACCAATAACTAATTTGCTCTTATAAGTAATAAGAAGCATTTTTCTATTTATATAAGAATTTAATCTCAAAACAGAAATCAGAAAAAAATATCCAGGGCATAAAACCTAAACCATAGCTTATATTTCTTCGTTCTAAATGAGCTAAGAGTAAAATCTTCTCCATAAAATATATATTGTGGTTATAACAAGGCAAAAGTTTTAGTGAGAATCATTGGTATTCAATAGAAGAGTGAAATAAATACAGCCAAGGGAAGACCCAGGTGTCATACTTCTCTTGTATATTCCAAAGTTCCAGTGAAATTCCAGGTAATAGAGGTTATTTCCCGCACTGTTAAAGCGAGGTTACAGACACTTCTGAATTTTGTCCCAGTGCTGAAGGAGGGCACACCTCTGTCCTGGAAAATGACACAGGGATGAATTCTCTTCCCATGACTCATTCTGGTCATTCTTCCAGCATCACAGAAACCAAAAAATAGGAATACGGCCAAATACATGATTTGCTATCCCTCTTCTTCAGATTTCTTGCCTGTTTCTTATGGATAATAACTGCTTTAAGGATTATGATGAAAATATGATATCCAAGTATGTGTACAGTGTTGAACAAAATGCCTAGTACAAATTGGTCAATAAATAATTATGTGACTACTGAATTACATGGATTCTATAAATAACTAATAAATAATTATTGTGATTCCTTTTATTGGCAGTGCTCAAAACTCATCCCTGTGTGACCTCAAGTAAACCACGTAACTTTCTGAACCTGCAGTTTCATCATTTTTAAAATGAAGAAACTAGACAGATTTTCATTTTGACACAGAATGTCAGGTTTTTGAGACACCAGAGAATAGATAAATTTACAGCTTTTAATACATCTCAAAGCACTGTCATTACACAGTGAAGTTGGAGGATGGTGCGGGCTGCTGAGAGGCGCACTTTCCAATGGGATTGATCCAGTCCTCCTCCCTTCACTTCCACGTGAATGTTGGGTAGCCCATGGTCACACTCATCATGCCCTCAACTCAGGCAAGTCCAACAGCCACACTTAGGAGACCTGGGCTACAGGACAA